TTTCTTTCCCAAGATGCTCTTTTAACATAACTCACTTGAGTTAACCATTTATTAGTGTTTATTATGTGCCAGGACTTTATATGTATTATCTCCCAATTCTCCCAATGGTTGTATGAGGTAACCACAATTACTATTCCTATCTTCACAGACAAGGAGAGAAAGGCACAGAGAGGTTGCATAACTGGCCTAACTTCACCCAGCAAAGAGGTGGCAGAGCCCAGATTCAAACTCAAGACTTTTTCAGTTCAAGCCTGTATACTTAAACACTATCCATACCCTTTCTGCAAACTGATATTCAGTCAAGTTGAGGATTCTGGTAAGGGGAAAGGAACTAATGCTTCTTGAGCAGAATGGGTACCAGGCATTGTACCTGGAAACTTTTTCCTCAAACCTTCTCCATAGTCCTATATGTTAGTTATTACCAGTGTCACCTGCCGCCCACCCCAAGTTGAGGTTCAGAAAAGCTAAGTAACATGCCCAGAGTTACAAATCTAGGCAGCAACAAAGCCAGGCTTCAAACCTGTGTCCGTCTGACTCCAACACAACAAAACAGCGGAGAGGCCGGAGCCTTCTGCCTCCCGCCACACACGGAGACGCTGCATTACGTTTCCTTTGGGTTTTGCTAGGCCAGGCACACTTTTGTTTTTCCTTATGAAGATTAAATCCCCTTCTATCTTAATTTTAAATAATCCTTAATATAGTAAGTTGTTTTAAAATTAGAGTATTCTATAAGCAAAAAGAGATAATAACAAGGACTGGTGAAAATGTGCAGAAATTGGAACTTCATATACCACTGGTGGGAATGTATTATAAAATGGTGCAATCGTTTTGAAGACCGCATGGCAGTGTCTTTGCAGGTTAAATTTGGAGTGACCATTTGACTCAGTAATTCCACTCGTAGGTATATACTCAAGAGAATTGAAAAACTATGTCTGCACAAAAACTTTACATGACTATATACACAACATTGGTCATAATAGCCTCAAAGTGGAAATAACCTAAATTCTATCAACTGATGAGTGGATAAACAAAATGTGGTATATCGTCACAGTGAAATATTATTTGTCAATATAAAGTACCATTTCAATATATATACCCTGAAAACATTATGCTTAGTGAGAGCAGCCAGTCACAAAGGACCACATATTGTATGGTTCCATTTATGTGAAATGTCCAGAACAGGAAATTCCATAAAGATGGAAAGTAGATCAACGGTTGCCAGGGCTTGGAAGGGAGATGACAGCTAAAGAGTATAATGTTTCTTTTTGGGATGATGAAAATGTTCTAAAATTGACTGTCGTGACGACTGAACTCTAAATACACTACAAACCATTGAATTGTATACTTCAAATGGATGAATTGTATGGTGTGTGAATTATATCTCAATAAAGCTGTTATATATTAATATTTATATTAAAAAACTGTACCATGAAGAAAACTAATATGCATTCGGTAGTTTCTCAAGAAACAGCTATTGAATGAATGTACCAAAGTACTTTATGACTACCGTATTTGCCGGCGTATAAGACGATTTTTTGGCCCTGAAAAATATGCCTCCAAGTGGGGGGGCGTCTTATACGCCAGGTACACTTCAGATAGACTGCCCATAGTGCTCGCCCCGTGCCATAGTGGCCTCCCGATGCCCGCCCACTTCATTCCACATACCGTTCAGGCATCAGCAGCGCTGCTGGGTGTATGCTCGGCTGTTATGCGATTTTGCTGTTATGCGATTTTACCACACTCGCAAAATCGCACACAGCCGACCATATAACAAACTCTGTATTTTGAGTGGAAATGTTAGGGGGTCGTCTTATACGCCGAGTCGTCTTATACGCCGGCAAATACGGTATTTTTAAAATACTAGTTCATTTAAATTCAAATATGTCTTTTAGGAGTAGATAGTTTATTTTGCAACAATGTTGCATGAAGTGTGTCCTGGACTCAACTGTCCATGGAAGTGAATGGTGATAACTACTGGCATCCCAAGAGTGCTGAGACATGGGCCTCAGTGGTGGAAGTTTAGCAACAGCGCCATGATGCAGGCATTCCCCTCTATGCCAACAGGGCCAGCTGTGATAAAAGAATCAATTGTGGCTTGTCGACAATAGGGATGCCACTGAGTATTAATAATCTCTCGTAACCCTCACTGAGCCAATCCCAGTCCTGGGGAGAAGCTCCATTGTGACTCAGGGCCACCAGTTATTGGGTCCTGGAATCCGGGAAGATAAACAACAACCTCCCTTCTATACTAGAGAAACTCCCAAGAGCAGGTCCTAGGAGCACTTTTCTATGTATGGTCACATTTGAGCTCAGGTGAAAGTGTGGAAAGAAGAAAATATCAATAAATTCCAGAATAAAAGCAGAAAGCAGTATTCGGGGTTGAAGGCGAGAGGACATGGAATAAATAAATGTCCACACTTGAGATCTAGCTGAGGAATTAGCCTGATGTGAATGATTAAAGAAAAGCCAAGAAAAAAAGGATCCAAATGCTGAGTGCGCTGAAGAAGAAAATGGTAGAGTATTAGTGGATTTAACAGCAAAACAAATGAGCTCAACAGACAAGCTTTACATGAGTAGATATAGTCCAGAACCCAGCACTGACAGGCAATCCCTTCAAAGAATGGTTTTCCAGCCTTCCTCAAGGGGGGTACAGAAACCTCCCAAGGATACTTTAGAAAGCAAGTATTTTGCTCTTGGATTTTATGGTAACAACAACAAAATGAGCCCTGGCTTTGGGAAAAATGTGTTCTGAGGTCCCTGTGTAAAATGGAAGCAAGAATGTGGTACAAAGCTGGAAAGGACTTATCCAAGGCACAGAGGCTCAAAGATCCCATGCGCTGAGCTCCTGACTTCACATCTCCAGGGAATCGCTGGTCTTATTTTGGAGAGAACTCAATCCAGTCTACAAGGGAGCATTCTGAAGTGAAACAAAACATAACTACAACAATGTAGTGTGCACTCCCTGTGTAAAGAATAGCTAAGGGCTTTTGTGTGTTTTATTTCATTTCATTTCTAAAACAACTCAAACAGATATTTTACAGATGAGGAAGAAACTGTGGCTCAAAGAAATCAAGCAACTTTCCCAAAGTCACACACAAGTAAGTGCCAGGAATAGGATTCAATTCGGGGTCTTTAAACTTTCTAACCACTATGTTCTCCAATACCCTACCAGGGGTCGGCAAACTTTTGAGATGGAAGAGCCGCCAGGGGTCGGCAAACTGCGGCTCACGAGCCACAGGCTCTGAAGTAAAATTGAAAATGAAAATAAAATCATCATAGTTTCATTTATAAAATATTATTCACATAATGGTGATTTCATTTGTTTTAGAGGTCTCCAAAACTTCAAGGGACAGAATTGGCTCTTCTCGTGGTTGGCAAACTTTTGAGACGGGACGTACCCAAAGAGCCGCATGTGGCTCGCAAGCCACAGTTTGCTGATCCCTGCTCTAGACCTTTCCAAAGTAAGTCTGTAATCAATTTGTTTGGCTATAGGAGGGCTTCTAGAATGAAAGACTGACATTTTGATAGAGACAAAATATCAGCATAAAACTAAGCAGACCAGAGTACCAAGAGAGTAACAAGATAGCACTGGGCTTTGGAAGATTTGCAAGTCAAGGAACCATAGGACAAGGAGTATGTATGAAATACTGATCAAAATAAAAATAGCATTACTGTTTTAATAAAATACTAGTATATCCATTCCCCCAACACTTATAGCTTCTGATTTATTTTGTCGTCTGTACTTGACGAAAAATGTATAAGAAAATAAGGGGCCGGCTGAGTGGCGCGTTGGTTAAGAACTGGCTTGGACGCCAGAGGGCCCCGGTTCAGATCCCACATATGAGGGCCAGTGACACTGCCCTCTACAGCTAAGATGCTGAACAACAGCTCAACCTGGAGCTGGGCTGCCATGAGTCGCCAGCGACGGCGTAGGCTGCAGCCCCTGCTGCAGTGGGTTACCATGGGCTATCATGTGTGGCCAGCAGCCAGTGTGAGCGGCCAGCATCAGCCGTGAGCGGCCGTCCAGAAGCCGGCGACTGATCTGCCTCACCCAGGAAGAGCGCAATGATGGTGCCAACTTGGGCCAGTGAAGCAATGTCCTCCACAACTAGATTGAAGAACAAAGGGACAGCAACTTGTCTGTTCCCCTTCCCCCAATTCCCCAGTGCTGTTCCCATCCCCCAACTCCCCAATAAAAATCTTTACAAAAAAAAAAAAAAAGAAAAGAAGAATTTGGGGATTTTGGAATGGAACTTCTCTTAACATTAGTCTTAGTGTCTTATTGAGACTGCAAATGTTAAAATATATTCTGAGATTGGTCACTATTTGCCACAGCCAATAAACAAACAAAACCAAGATAAAAAACATTGTAATAGATTTTAACTTCTTTTACACAATTCACAAAGATGAGACCAAAATAGAAGTTGTGGTTGATTTTGCCAGTTGTCTATGGCGATAACAATTCTGAACCATAAACAAGTCTCAACCATAAATCTTCCTTTGGGGTTTTGTGGGGAAAACCTTTCAACTGTTTTTTTTCCCCCTACCATGAGTCACAAACCCATCTGGCTAAACTCCTATCATTCCTCAATTACATCAGGTAATAAAAGGTGAAACATCCCTGCACCTGTGGGTCCCAAGGAGAGGGATGTATTCCTCTTGGAAACTGATCTGAATCCATCACCAGTAACGGCCACCATACAGAGAGCCTGCAGCCTGCAAACATTTCAGAATGAGATGTTGGGTCTATATCTGTTTGAGATACTGGCCCATTAGTTACCAAGTGGAAAGAATACTGGGCAGAAACTCAGGGCCCTGTGTTCCAATCTGCCCTCTGCCACTTGCTAGGGAGGTAACCTTCACCCAGGGCTTTCCTCTCTCCTGGCTATAGTGTTCTCATCTATAAAATGAAGGGCTCAGAGTACTCGCATATCATCCCTTGGACACTTGGGCACCCTGCTCAGCCTGATAACCTGTTTGGGTGATTTCCTAGCAAATACCTGTTTCTTGGTCACAGTGCCATCCACAGGGTCCACATATTCAAAGCTGTCTGTCTTCACCACACTGTAGACGTGGCTTCCCACGGCAAACTGCTGGCCGATGAAGGACTTGTCTGTGACCAGGGCCTCCAGGTCTCTCATGATGTAATATGTCGTCTTAGGCTCTAGCCCCTCATAGTCAAACCTGGGAGGGAAGGGGAGGGCACAGGATGAACACAAACCAGCAACTGGGGGGGCCTCTCAAGGTCATCTGAATCATTGGTTTTGTTTTCTTGGAAGAACTGCACAGAAAAGTACCCCCAAACTGGTCTTCCTCTTCCACGTAGCTCTTACAATCCACTCCACACATGGTAGCCAGAGTGATCTTATAAAAATCAAGTCGTGTCCCTCCTTTTCTTTAAATTACTCCAAAAGTGCCCATCACACTGCGAACAAGACTCAAAATCCTAACCCTGTAAGGTGGGATCTGACCCTACCCACCTCCTGACCTGACTTTGTTCACTATACGCCAGCCCACTGGCCTCTGTCCAGTCCTCAGAGACACTCTACCCTTCCCAGCCTCTGGGGCTTCGCTCTTGCTGTCTGTTGCCTTTACCTGATGTAGTCTTGCCCCAGCGACTCAAATAGCTGGTACATTCTCTCCCCTCGGTTTTCAAACTTATTTTCATCTCCAGAAAGTGGCCTTCTCCGACCATCCATCTAAGATAGCTTCCCTCTATTTCTCCTCCTCTCTCATTACCCATTATATTTTCTTTTGGCAGCTGTATTTACCTTGTTTGTATATTTGTGTACTTATTTCTTGTCCATGTTTGCCCACGAGAACTGTAAGCTCCAGGCAGAGTCCTTACCTGTTTTGTTCTCTGCTACTTCTGGTCAATAGCAAATGTTTTGTAGGTAGTGGAATGAAAGATGGGAGGAAGGGAAGGAAGGAAGGAGAGAGAGGAATCAAGGGAGATGAAGAGAGGAGGAAAGGAGGACAACATACCATAAAACGCCCTTGGAAACTTGGAAAAAAGTCCTCCCAGCCAAGGTCACCAAATTTAACAATGGGGCCGAGAGGTGATTAGGGAAAAAAAATGTCTAAAAATAACACCTATCTCATTTATTGTTGTGGGGTTTAAATACGATAAGGCATACCAAGTAGTTGGCGCAGTGCCAGACACTATACTAGGAAAGTCATCTGGGTTCTCAGATACAACTTTAGGCTCAGTATTAGTTAAACTAAAATTGTTTTATTATCTCCTCTCCACTAAGAAAACAGGCTAGAAATCATTTTATTTCACAAGCACCTTTCAACCTGATTTGCTGGAGGCTGAAGGAAATCTTTACCTTTCATTCTACCTTTCCCTTCTCCTTTTTTCTTTTATTTCTTTTTTTTTATTACTATCAGGTATACAAAACAACATAGTTGTCAGACACTTATATACCTCACAAAGTGATAATCCCAATAAGTCTAGTACCCATCTGACACCATACATAGTTACTACAATATTATTGACTATATTCCCTATGTTGTACTTTACATCCCCATGATTATTTTTTTAAATTATAGCTGACATTCAACATTATTTTACATTAGTTTCAGGTGTAGAGCATAGTGGTTAGACATTTATATAATTTATGAAGTGATTTCCCCAATGAGTCTAATACCCGCCTAACACCATAAATAGTTGTTACAATATTACTGACTATGTTTACCATACTGTACTTTATATCTATGTGACTATTTTCTAACTACCAATCTGTACTTCTTTCTTAATCCCTTCACTTTTCTCACCCAGCCCCCCAACCCTCCTCCCAGTTAGTAACCATCAATTTCTTCTCTGTATCTATGAGTATGGTTTTTTCCCCCATTTATTTTATTCTTCAGATTCCACATATAAGTGAAATTATATGGTATTTGTCTTTCTCTGTCTGACTTATTTCACTTAGCATAATACCCTCTAGGTCCATTCGTGTAGTTGTGAATGGTAAGATTTCATTCCTTTTTATGGCCGAGTAATATTCCATTGTATATATGTACCACAATTTCTTTATCCAATTGTCTATCAGTGGGCTTTTTGGTTGCTTCCATATCTTGGCTATTGTAAATAGTGCTGCAGTGAACACAGAGGTGCAAGTATCTTTTCAAGTTAGTGTTTTGGATAAATACCCTGTAGTGGAATTGCTGGGTCATAAGGTAGTCCTATTTTTAATATTTTGAGAAACCTTCATACTGTTTTCCATTGTGGCTGCAACAATTTGCAATCCCACCAACAGTGCACAAGGATTCCCTTTTCATACATCCTCACCAACACTTGCTGTTTACTGATTTATTGATGATGGCCATCTAACAGGTGTGAGGTGACGTCTCATTGTGTTTTTTATTTGAATTTCGCTGATGATTAGTGACACTGAGCATCTTTTCATATGTCTATTGGCCATCTGTCCGTCCTCTTTGAAGAAATGTCTATTCAGGTCCTCTGCTCATTTGTTAATTGGATTCTCTGTGCTTTTTGGTGTTGCACTGTATGAGATTTTTTTGTATACATTTTAGATATTAACCCTTTTCAGATGCATCATTGGCAAATATCTTTTCCCATTCAGTAGGATGTCTTTTTGTTTTACTGATGGATTCCTTTGCTGTGCAAAAATTTTTAGTTTGATGTAATCCCATTTGTTTATTTCTTCCTTTGTTTCCCTTGCCCCAGGAGATATATCAGTAAAAATATTACTAAGGGTAATGTTTGAGAGTTTGCTTCCTATATTTTCTTGTAGGAGTTTTATGGTTTTGGGTCTTACATTTAAGTCTTTAATCCATTTTGAGTTTATTCTTGTATATGGCATTAGAAGGTGGTCCAGTTTCATTTTTTTGCATGTATCTGTCCAGTTTTCCCAGCACCATTTATTGAATAGACTGTCTTTACCCCAAAATATATTCCTGCTTTCTTCGCCATTGATTAAATGACCATATCAGCCTGGATTTATTTCTGGGCTCTTTATTCTGTTCCATTGATCTGTGCCTATTTTTATGCCAAGACCATGCTGTTTTGATTACTATGGCCTTGTAGTATAATTTGATATCAGGTAGTGTGATACCTTCAGCTTTGTTCTTCTTTCTTAGGATTGCCATGGCTATTCAGGGTCTTTTATAGTTCCATATAGATTTTAGGATTATTTGTTCTAGTTCTGTGAAAAATGCCATTGGTATTTTGATAGAGATTGCATTGAGTGTATATATTACTTTGGGTAGCATGGACATTTTAATTGTATTAATTCTTCCTGCCCATGAGCATGGTAGGTGTTTCCATTCATTTGTATCTTCTTTAACGTCTCTCTTCAATGTATTATAGTTTTCTGAGTACAGGTCTTTTACTTCCTTGGTTACATTTAGTCCTAGGTATTTTTTTTATGCAATTGTAAGTAAGACTGTTTTCTTAATTTCTCTTTCTAATAGCTCAATATTGGTATATAAAAATGCAACTGATTTCTGGATATTAATTTTGTATCCTGCTACTTTACTCAACTCATCTATCAGTTCTAATAGTTTTTTGGTGGAATCTTTGGGTCCTGTCTCTATAGTATCATAGGTCATCTGCAAATAATAACAGTTTTACTTCTTCCTTTCTGATTTGAATGTCTTTATTTATTTTTCTTGTGCCTCAGGCGATGCCACACTAGCTGGGTGGGGCAGAGAGTCCAAGGGAGTCACCAAGGTAGAGCATGTGCAGATTTTACCAGTCCAATGCAGTCTCAGATTTGGCCCTCTCCTCCCCGCTTTTTCTTTATCTCTGTGATCTTTTTGGACAGAAATCTGAAACAGAATTCAATGTCCAACAACAATTTAAATCTCCATTGCATTATATTCTCTAATATGGTATTTGTTATGAAAAAAGTAATTATCGTGTAAGCTCCTGGCCACAAAAAGTGAACTATATGATAAATACACTTATCATAATACTTCAAAACACTGGCAGAAAGCTAGATAATCATTCCACAAATTATGAGAAAGACAGCCCTGATTCAAAGCGATCTCACTAAGCCAGAAGTTGGCAATCATAATATGTTTTATCAGGTTGGACTTTTAAAAACAGGTTTATGCAATAGAAGGATTTGTTGTTCCAATTAGCCCCTTGGTATGCCAAAAAAAGGTCACAAGAAGCAAGAATTTTTGGCACTTGTTAGAAATACTAGTGAGTAAAAAAAGTTTCCACCTGCCTTGAGGGTCCTTATTTTATGAAACAAGGAATAATTTGAGGTGGTTTGCAGGCTCGTGCATCTTTAGCCTTCTTGACTAAACAGCAATCAAGAATATTATGGTGTTGTCTACATTTCCCAGAGAATTGCAGTCTTTTTTATTTTAATGAGTAAAATCACAGGCTTCCTTATTCTCTGATATTTATCTAAATAAATGACCTCTTAAGAGAACAATCACCTTATAAGGAAAATCTAAAGCTTTCTTTCTGTTCTTCAAGCTCTTGAAACACAATCAAACATCCAAAGTAGTTGGCTATTCATAAGCAAAGCAAATGAGCCACAATCTGTTTTTAACACACAGACAGCCTCTAAGACTACCCAAGGATTCCCTTGCCTGCCCCAATCCACACTCTTTCCTAACATCCTTTCCTACCACTGCTCTCCCTAAACCACAGTTTGGTCTTAGGGACACAGACCTAGCATATCTAGGTAGACACCTCTAGCAGGCAACCACACAGCCAGAAGTCTCTGCCCCCTCACTTATTTGAAGAACAAGAAAGTGACAGAGACCCCCAAGCCTAAGCTCTTAACCACTGACTTTTCCCCTTTCTCCTCTCCAGGGCACTATTTCCCGTTTCTGAACCTCCTTTCATGGGGACAAAACTTTAGCAAAACCTGGGGCTCATCAATCATGTGACCCCTTCAGAGGGTGCCAGCTCAGGCATCTTAGACACTGGATTATTGGTGGGGAGGTAAGACCAAGTTAGGGGAGAGGATTACAAAAGCACCCCAACCTGTTGTAGCTTCTGTATCCATTCCCCTTCCTTGATAACTATGAACCAACAAGGAAAGTCTCTGGTTTGACTGCACAATGATTGGGCACCAAAGAACCTTTCAAGGCTCTACAGTTCAAATTCCCTCTTGAGATACCTGCCCACATTATAGGCACTGATGGAGAGACTACAGAGGGATGTCACTTGCAGAGGGGAAATTTGTGCCCTCCGGTTTGGTAGTCCTTGACCGCCCCCCCCCCCACACACACACACACCTATCAGGGGTTATCTGACTCCAGCGTCTGTGTTCTGGCCCACCTGTTTCAGAAATCTTCTCTAAGAGCAGTTCCTCGGCGTCCATAGAGAGACCTGTACCCTTCTCACCTGCAATAGTAGTGGCGGCCAAATTTGGCCCAGTGATCTCGGACAATTTCCTCCACACTCTGCTTCCGGGCAGCGATAATGGAGAGCCAGACCAAGACAGCCCAAAGGCCATCTTTCTCCCGGAGGTGATCGGAGCCTAAAGGAGAAAGAAATATTCTACTGAGGACTTGTTCCTTGGGGGAAAAGTAAAAGCTAAATGAACTATGAGGAGCAGTTAGTAATTGAGTGTTCTATTGAAATGGCTGAATATATTTATTCATTGTGTTAAATATATGCCCCACAATATACTTACATTTCCAAAAACATGTAACTGAAATTCAGGTAACACAAAATAATATCAATCAATAAAATAAAATCCTATAAATTCTTGAAGTGGCCAAAGAGCTGAACTGACATCACATTTACCCAATGGTATCATTTATCAAGTAGATATTTGGTGATCCTTACAATATACCAAGCATTGGTCTAGGTACTAGGGATATAGCAGTGAACAAGATAGCTCTTTCCTCATAAAGCTTAAATTCAAGTAGGTAGAAAAAGTCAACAACAGAAGAGTAGATAAATTAAAGAACAAGATGCATCAAATAAGCACAGGGCTACATAAAAAATTAACTGGGTGATGATGTCATAGTGTGACAGCAGCAAAGACTGCTTTACCTAGAGTAGTGTATTTTACCTAGAGTAGGGTTGAATGGTGGCTCCCCAAAAGATATGCATACCCATAACCTGTGACTGTGACCTTATTTGGGGAAACAGTCTTGCAAATATAATTAAGTTAAGGATCTTGAGATCATCCCAGATTATCCAGGTGGGCCCCAAATCCAACGACAAGTGTTCTTAAAACAAGAGAGGAAAAGTACAAAGGAGCAGGTTATGTGAAGACTGAAGCAGAGACTGAAATTATGCTGCCACAAGCCACAGAATGCAAGGAGCCACCAGAAGAAAGAGTCAGGGAAGGATTCTCCCCTAGAGCCTTCAGAGTAAGCATGGCCCTGATCACACCTTGATTTTCGACTTCTGACCTTCAGAACTATGAGAGAATACATTTCTGTTGCTTTAATCCACCTGGTTTATGGTCATTTGTTATGGCAGCCTTAGAAAACTAATACCAGTACTGAGGGCCAGCCCCACTGAGGTGATGATATCTGAGCTTACACCTGAGAAGGAGTCAGCCATGCCAAGATCTTGGGACAAAACATTCCAGGTGGAGGAATAGCAACCACGAAGTTCTTGAGGCAGGAATAAACTTGGAAGTTTAATCCTACAGCTATTTACATAGAAAGAGATGCAGTTCATGCTGTGGTATTCACAAGAATGAAGAACGAAGTCTAAACAGGCAGCTTCCTGCACAAAAAAGAACCCAGAAGAACGTGTTGTAGGCACATTTAAGCATCTGTCTATTGGCCAATTGTAAGCTCTCTCTGATGTGAATGAAGCCCTGGATACAAAGAAACACGCTGTGGTGTAAGAAACGTGGTGCAGTGGTGAAGGTGCCGGGGAGGTTATGGAATTAGGATTTTAAACCGAATTCTGCTTCTTCCCAGGTGTGAGAAGGTATTGCAAAGATGTTAATATTTCTGAACCCCAATGTCTCATCTGTAAAATGGGCATACCATCCCTAATCTTGTGGGGTTGTCATATCAATTTAATCAAGTTCAGAGGGCAGGTTCTCAAGTCAAATTGTTCATGTTCGAATTCTGTCTGGCTCAGCCCCTTATCTTTGTGTGACTTGCTGTCCTCACCTGCAACATGGGGACAATAATGGCTTCTACTCCCCAGGGGTCACTGTTAGGATGGAGAGACTAAACATGCCTAGGTATTTAGAACAGCGACTGGGATGTCACAGTGGCTGCTGTTGCTGATGACCTTGTCGTTGGTAATTCACATAAAGCACCAACACGATGCTGACTCCTCCATACATACATGGAGGCAAACTGTTCTCAATTATTCATGTAACTTTATCCTCTGTCTCTTGCAATAGCAAGATTAAGACTTACGAAGGGGACTGGGACCAGGGGGTGAACCATTCCTTCCTGCAATAGAGCAATGAGATGGACAACAGTGCTCTTGGATTTCAGGACTCTGAAACATTGGTAGAAAATCAAAAAGGGAAATGCAACTTCACAGGACTGCTGAAACCTTGAAAAAGCTGAAACAATACCTTAATTAAGTTAAACATTTTTGATAACTTCTCAGTGAAGCTAGGGACTATTTACCCAGCTTGTTACATTTATAGTGTTAAATGTTTTCCTCAAAAAAAAAAATACAACCTTGAGAGGGCTGCAGAAATATTTGAAAGGAAAAAGGATCATCAGTCTTCGGTTTTTCCCACACACCAGTCAACGGACTGCTGACGACACTCTTAGGTTACTGCTGCCTTTAGGTTAAGAGGATCCTGGGTTTTATCACCACACCATGGAGTGGCTCTGGTCTTATCTAGTAATAAGCTTTTCACACTGCTACAAAAATGGAAGGAGTTTGGAAGAGGCTGGGTTAGCTCCATAGCCAAGTGCCAAAAAAAAAAAAAAATAGAAAGAAAGAAAGAAAAAGAAAAGAGAAAAAAATCTAAAAATCCCTGCCCAGTAGAAAGTTTTAAAACCTTTTATCCTTTTATAGCAAAAAAAAAAAAAAGAGAGAGAGACTTTTACTTACTGGCTAGAGAAAAATACCCTTTTGTTCTAAAACACAGGGCTTTGCATACCTTGCATCTCCAGCTGGATTACATTACATGGAGATAGAGCCATTAGATACTATTAGCTCTGTGAGATAAGATGTCATAATTTAGTGGTAGAGAGACATAAAGTTCTTTTAGCAGGATTAAAAAAAAAACACACCTCAACCATTTTTAGCCAACTGCATAGCAGATTGTGAGTTGGCTTGGATATACATGCCTCCAAGTTAAACATCTGTCAAGATTCATAAGGGGCCAATGATCAAGAAACATTGTGCTCTTTACAGATCATTGAGGTGGGGAGAGACACATTGATGATGTTGCAATTATACAGATGTTCCCACTGGATGCTCACAGCGTGCTTTGGAGGGCATACACACCAAACCGTTAACAATTATCTGTGAAGTGATAGAATCACAGCTGGTTTTCCTCTTCTTTTGCTGTATTTGCTCAATAAACGTGTATTATTTTCATAATAAGAAAAAAATAAATTTTTAAGCTAGCAGTACTGTGTAGAAATTCACATTTAAAAACATTAAATTGCATTTACCAAGAGCTAGTTGGGATATTAAAGGGATCAATACCACTTATGAACAGGTGATGAACTTTGAACCTATTGATCATTCCATTACTTAGACTGAGTAACGGCTTTTTAGAGCATAGGGATTGAATATGTGACACACACACCCTCTCCCTGTGGGGCTCACAGTTTTTAGGATTAGGATCAGGGATGTCCTGTAAGTTCAGTACCTGACAGAAAGTGAGGATGGAGAAGGAAGGAAGTCCACTGCTGAGCTGTCAACATTGGCCTTGGGGGAAGTTTGGCTTGGAGGACGGGTCTGTCTGCCTCCCAGAGACCCCACTAGGAAGGGCAAAGCTTCAGATGCACACCAGAAGCCCCTGCGGCCATTTCTACTGTTGCTGACCACATGTGGAGAGGGGCTCACCCAGCCTGCATTTCACCCCCATTTTTCCCCAGGCAAAATCCCAGCATTCTGTGAGCAGTTAAAGAGTTGTTTGGGAAAAAAAGCAAATGATCTATTTCTTTACTTCCTCACTTCACATGTTCACATCTGCTCTGTCTTTAAAACATGAGATCCCAGGGAAAAAAAAATTCTTCTACTGTAGCATTTATACACATTATTGCTAGTACAATTTTTTAATAGACTATTTTTTAGAGCAGTTTTAGCTCCACAGAAAAACTGAACAAAAAGTACCAGGAGTTAGCCTATACTCCTGCCCCCACATAAATACTGCCTTCCCCACATTCAATGTCCCCCACTAGAGTGGGACATCGGTTATAACTGAGGAACCTCATTGATTGATACATCATTATCACCCAAAGTTCATAGTTTATGTGAGGCTTCACTTTTGGTGGTGCACATTCTATAGGTTTAGACAAATATATAATGGCATCATTATAGTATCATACAGAGAGTTTTACTGCCCTAAATATCCTGTGTCTGGCCTATTCATCCTCCCTCCCTCCTAGCCCCCAGCAACCACTAATCTTTTGACCATTCTTCATGGTTTTGCCTTTTCCAGATTATCATATAGTTGGACTCATACAGTATGGAGCCTTTTCAGTTTCACATCCTTCACTTAGTCAGATGCATTTAAAGTTCCTCCATGAATTTTCATGGCTTCACAGCTCATTTCTTTTTAGCAATGAATAATACCAGTACAATTTTTGAAGCTTGCTTCCTCTGGATTTCTGGCTGGTGGTGCAGCCAGACGTGCCACCTGGTTGAGGACACTGCAAGGAGCTTTTATTACCCATATTCCCAAAGCCTGTAAGTACCATTCTCTTTGCCTTCCTCCATCCAGGCCAGCCCAGCCCGAAGCCCACTCAAACCTACTGCAAACAGCCCAGAGAAGCAGCTGTCTCCATCCAGATACGACAAGGAGGGCACTCAGCTCTTCCCAGACATGATTCCAGCAAAAATCCGTACAAAAAAAGCGGGTCTATTGTTTTCTCATCATAAATCTCCCTATTCCCCCTCCACCCAAATTAGACTTTGAATTTTCTCAAGCTTTAAAACCATAGTACTTTGAGCTAGACAGCACACTAGTAAGAATACTGACCTCCCAAAAGAAAAGGGGAAAACAGAGTACTCAAACTTCTAAAGGAATTTTCTTCCTACGGAAATCCTAGCATGGGCAAATCAATGCAATAAAATATCACACCTGTTACTACTAACAGATCAAGTCATCTCAGCAGATACTCAGTTCAGTAAAATCAGGAAAATATAAATCATTTTGGACCTGTTGCTGACTCTAACAGGGAATATAAGGTAGGGATTCTCAACTCAGGCTGCGTATTAGAATCACCTAAGGAACTTATAAAAAGATACTGATGCTCAGAATTTTTGGTAATAGGACCCAGGCATCAGTACTTTTTTTTTTTAATTCCTTGGGTGATTCTCATGGCAGCCAGGGTTGAGAGCCACTGCTTAAGGTGAAGG